TAGTTCCCCGCAGTTTTTGTCGCTACCGACACCGGTTTTTTCGGCAAATGCTTCTAGCTAAACAAATTAAAACTGGCCGCCAGAACTGTCAGGAAACACCTCCTTAAAATCTTAGCTTTCTAGCTTTCCTGGCTCCTGCGTTAGCAACTTACTCAAAAAAAACTTTCACGGGCCCTATATAGGTACGACGCATAACCGGTGTCTAAGTTTGAGCTCATTAACATCCACTTGAATGGGGAACATCCCCTTAAAATTCCAGCTTTCTAACTTTTCTGGTTCCCGAGACTTACCTGCAAAAAACATTCACGGGCTCGTACGTGCGTACCACGCGGGTAGGACCGCTCATTTTGGAGATCGGGGCCCCTACACGCATGCAGTTTAAATTCCCAAAATTTCAGTCCTGTAGCTCTTGTGGATCTCGAGATTAAAAATCGGTACAGATGCACAGCGCACACACAGATACACACACACACACACACACACACACACACACACACACGCAAACACACTCGCACGCAAGCACACACAGGCACACACACAGACAATCTCTCGACAATATGCGTTTTCTGCACTGCATAGCTACAAAAAAACGCATAAAAAACTGACAATCATGCACATTGAAATCTACGCGGCCTCATAATGCAATACCCTCATCTCAGCCGGCGCCCTTTCCTCCTGCATGCAGGAAAAGGCCAGACACAGCCAATACGAGTCCAAGTGTTAATTTACAGTGCAGGGACCATTTTTGCTGTAGCGACCTGCAAGTTTAGTGCAAAAATGCATGATGGCAATGGCAAGTCCGGCGCATTGCAGCCTGGGTTTTAAGTGTATATAAATGTATGCAAATGTAAAAACGCGAATTGTGATAAACCATTATATATATATATATATATATATGTTTGTGTGGGCGTGTGTGCGTATGTGTGTGTATGTGTCTGTCTGGACATTTCGATTTGGCAGTTAAGCGAGCTTTGATGCTAAAATTTTGTCGAAGCTTTCATTGGCCAAACGCCCCCCATGCAGTACTAACGTACATGCACATCTGAAGACCGCGTGCGGGCAAGTGAAAGATTTGGCAGGAAAACTGTTAGCTTAGGAATCAGAAAAACCGCAGGGCTGAAATTTTAAGGGCATGTTCCTTGTCACATACAACTTATAGGTCTTAGATTCAGTCCATAGGCATGGGTGTTCTTACATACGGGCATGCAAAGTTTTGGCGAGGAAATTGCTCACTGAACAGCTTGGCTTTTGTTAATGAACGACCGTTCAATGAAAATTGTTCATTTTCCATTATGCAAAATTTACGATGATTTACACTAGTGAGTATGTAAAGCTGTATGCACAAACTGTATTTACAAGCTACATAAGCTGTATGTAAAGCAACAACCATTAATACAATTAACGACCTGGCTGCTTCAAGCTTAGCGCAATAAAAACGCATGATCGCACCGGCAAGCCTTGTGTGTTCCAGATTGGGTTGTCTTTGTAAACACCCGCTGTGTACATGTATGTATTTTTGAACGTTCGTGTGTTTGTCCCGCAGTTTTAACTCGGCAACCAAATAAGATTGGACGTTGCAATTTTGCCAGTGGGTTTCCTTGCCAAGTGCGATCCCAGGAATATGGTATCAACTTTCATACGTGTCTGGGTCTCACATACGGATGCGTGAAAGTTTTGGCGAAAAATCGCCGACTCAGGAACAAGGTAATTTGGAGAAAGGGATTTCGAAAAGATATCAAGACTTCAAGTTCGATTTTTAAGTACACCTGGTTCTTAGTACTGACGAAAGTTTTGGCGGGAAAATTACTAGCTCGGGGACCAGAAATGCTAAAAAGATCAGATTTTAGGCGAATGTTTTTGAAGGATCCAAATATTTCAAATCGAGTTCCTAAGTGTTACTAAAGCAGTACAGACTAAGTACTGCCACACTGGCTGATCGCAGAAACGCATAATCGTACCAGTCTCTCTAACGCTCGAGGCTACTAAATTTGAAATTTTTTCCAAGTTTTTTCAAGCTATTTATTATTTCGGATCTTTTTAACTTCCGTTATATTTATAATATATTGCATGTTTCTCAGCACTACAAGCTAAACAAATAATTTGAGATATTTACGAATACATACATTTAAAGACAGCTGACTGCACCATGTTTCCTCGTCCGGCTGCGGCTCTGTGTTCTGAAAAAGCAAATAGCCCAAGAACTGCTAAAGTTCTGACAAATTTATATAAAAGCTTGCTGATCTGGCGCTAGCAAAGGCACGCTTTTTGTGGCTGGAGCCTAACTTTTTTTTTTTTTGAGAATCGCGGCATAATGCATGCCGCCCAGATGAAGACATGTACCAATCCTTCTTGACTTTTTGCGTATACAATACATGATAGCGCTAACTGCTAAACCAAATTATGAATCCAGTAATCCGTTGTTTTGTCCAGAGCTGCTGGCTGACATTTAAATCTGTATTCTTGCTTTTGGCAAAATTTTCCTCCAGTGACTGAGTAAATAAGCGGTGAACCGCGAGGTTTAATCATTTTTCCACACCACATACGTGTTAATCCAATTGCAGTTTGAAGATTCTCTTTGGGAGAGTCTTTTGGATACGCACTGCAATATGCTTATGGCCATGACAGCAGAAAAACTCGGCGAGCAATACAAACTGAGCCGTGCTGATGTAGATAAATATGCATATCAGTCACAAACGCGTTGGAAAGCTGGTTAGTATTAAAAGCTGAGCTAAACTGGTGCAAAATGAACTGGAATTTAGTTTCGAAATCTTTGAAGTTGAAAAATAATGACTGTGATAACAGCATCATAAAGTCAGTTGAAGGTATAATGGTAATAACCTTCTCTGTATGTAGTCCTGAATATTTCTGGATTGGTTCTGGAGAAAAGTCTTTGGAGCTTCTGATCTAATAATTGAGTTTTGTATAACTGCTGGCTGTGAAACCTGTTCCAGTTCGGAACTGGTTTTTTGGTTTTTTGTCTGCTTTTTTTTTTTCAAGTCGATCAAAAATAGAATACACTCACATTGATTTCACTGTTAACGATCCAATAATTTTAGCGCACGATGCGGGATTATTTAAAAGCGAAATAGTGCCCATCAAAATGAAAACAAAGAAAGGCGATACAACGTTTGATGTTGACGAACACCCACGTGTTACTGAACTGCGCGAGCTTTCCTCTTTGAAACCTGTTTTTCAAATGAATGGCCTGGTAACAGCAGGCAATGCATCTGTAAGTTCTCTTCGTCCACTTATTCATAAAGGTCTTCTAGCATATCATATTCTGTTGGGTGAAAGAAGGTTGAAAAACGAACAATTCGACAATAAAAAACCAAGGCACTAATTTTAGAAAAAAAAATTCGACGCGTCATAGAATGCAAAATGTTAGCAACATAGATTGAGTTTATGCCTCCACCACTTCCCGTGACAGCTGTGAATTAGAATAGTACTGCTTTAATTTACAACACGCACTTGGCAAGTAGGAAGCTATGTGTTTCCCACTCGTACTCGCGTGCTTCACTTTGTCTATATATAGCTAAGTGATCGAGCATGGACTGCCTGCGTTTTATGATTACTTTTACACGTGTCATAATGCTTTAGCATTTTTGACATTTCGCTCATTTATAGCCAAACAATTTAAATGAGCACTTCTGTCGACTTTAATATTTGTGCAGGCACAGGTCACGATGAGCAAACTATTCAATGAAAGAAGTGAGTGAGATGTAAAAACTGCAGACATTAACAGGTTCAGGTGGGCGAAATACTAGAGAAATTTGAATTTGCAGCATTGCCCAATAAATCAGGCTCTGAAAAAAAAAAATGGGATAAAACTGAATCCTGATTTATATCGCATGAAAGGACTTTGAACAAAGCTGGCTTTTTTGACAGTTAAGGTTTTATGAGGAGCAGCAGTCGTGATAGCACGTTTTGCTTCAAAGAAATAAAACTACGACGTAGTGCACTTTCGCCCTAAAATAAGATTCTGAAGGGTGTTGAGCATATCAGCTTTCACCCGTTCTTTTCATTAGTCTCTCTGTGTCCTTTTCTTTAGTCTCTTCATAAAAAGGCGATCGGTATTACCGGATTGAATTTCTGTGCTGAAAAAACGAAAGACTCCCATGTATTTATCGGAAAAGTGCGAGCGGCAGCGGTCGAACATATGCTACTGTATCCCACTCGGCTCTGCAAGCCAATGAGAAAACGCTATGCATCGCCTAAAACTTTCACGGCCTGTCCTCATATTGCCACGAAGCGATGATTTGAATATCAACGCAGTTCGGAAAGTTGCGCTTTGAATACAATACACTTCTCACTGCGAACGGT